GTAAGGCCGCCGACAGCCACAGCTGCCTCCTGTGCATTTGAAATGCCCAGCCTAGCACATGCTGTGGTTCGAAACACACAAACACACCAGATTTCAAAGACTTCTGCTGACAAAATATATTCAAAGTATTTTATCAATATTTTGAGTATAGAATAATGATCTCATACACTGCTAAAATTAGTTTGGACAATATCCATTTAGGTTTTTTTTTAATGTGGGTATAGAAATTTTTAGAAATATATGGGATTTTCAATAAACTCCTATTTTATAATGCCATAAAGTATTATAACCTATAAAGGTTAAACTAAGAACTAAAACCATTTTATTGTACAGTCACCGTCCTTGTGGGTTTCTGGAGACAGTTATGACTTTTGTGAGTAAAGATGATTTCTTCTTCTCCTCTAACTTTGCCTATGATTTCTTTCTCTTGTCTCGTGGCATTGATAAAGTTTGTCATTGTATTAAAGGGCACCCATACCCGGTATCTGATGTAGGGGACCAGTCTTTCACCATTAAGCATGGACTGTGTCCGCAGAATTTTTGAAGCTGTCTTTTGTAAGTGCTGAGACGATCCCCTAGACTCCCGCTGTGACTATGGGTTTCTGCATGGTGCTTAAACTGAGACATGAAATTTTGTCAAATGCCGCGTCTGCCTATACTGAGCTGATCATGTGGTTTCTCCATTAGACTATTAATAATACATAACGGATATTGCAACTGATGCTCAAATATTAACTAACCTAATACAGCTCAGGTAAATCCTATCTTATCAGATTCTATTATAATTATTTGTTTGTTTGATTGCTTGCTTGCTTGTTTACTTTGATCAATTAAGATAGTGGCCTCAAACTTGCTGGGTAGCTGAGGTTGACCTGATCTTCCTGCCCCAATCCTCCTGAATGCAAGATCATAGTTATAGTCTACTATGTCACTATTATTCATTTTCATATTCCTGAATCAATTTGGAAACCTAATTTAGTTCTTAGTTCAAGTTTTCAAAATACTAAGACTATATTCAAAACTCAATTTCATTCCATGTACTTTCAGCAACATTTAAAAATTGAACATTGTACAATATGATGAAATAAAGATAAATCCAATAAATATTTATAAGCTTCATTAAACACCACGCATTATTGATGAAAGAAATGCAGGTTCAGTTCGAGAACCCAAGCCATAAGATCCTAAGAGTCATGTCTGACATAATTTGCTTGCTCATTTTACACAGCTCCCAAACTCCATTAGACATTTTCCCCCTTAAACTGAACCTAAAATTTACATGAATATCCCATGAACTAAAATAATTTAAATAATTCTGAGGGAAAAAAAAAACAGAGTTTTAAGACTCACAATGGCTGACTTACTTTACAGCTGTAGTCAGGACAATGTTTTTAAGAAATAGACACTTAGGGCTGGGCGGTGGTGGAGCACGCCTTTAATCCCAGCACTTGGGAGGCAGAGGCAGGCAGATCTTTGTGAGTTCGAGACCAGCCTGGTCTACAAGAGCTAGTTCCAGGACAGGCTCCAAAACCACAGAGAAACCCTGTCTCGAAAAAAAAAAAGAAAAGAAAAGAAAAAGAAATAGACACTTAGATCAATAAGAAAGAATAACAAATCCAAAGGCACACCCACACATGGTACAGCCCATTGATTTTTTTTTTTAAAAGAAAGATACCAAAGCAATTCAGAAGAGAAAGATTTATCCTTTGAAAATCACATCTTGACACAGTTGGATATCCAAACTCAAAACGACTTTGGCCATTACCCAGAACAACTTTAAGAAACTACTAAAAATGGGCTATAGACCCAAACACAGCATCTGAAGTGAAAACCTCGTGGGAGGTAAACTCACAGCCATGAGTGAGACCAGTGTGTTTTAGAGGAAAGACAGAAATCACAGAATACAAAAGAAAACTGACAAGCAAACCAGAATGAGCTGGAATCTTCTTCAAGCTGAGCATTGCAGCACGCTCTGCAACCCCTCACTCGGGCTATGGAAGCAGGGGGCTATGAATTCAGGCTTTCCTGGGCTTGTCTCAAGTTCTGTCCTGCAAAGAGGAAAACTTTTTACATTTCACCTTTGAAAGACATCTTACAAAGACCTGACATCCAAAACACACATACCGAATGCTCGCAACTTAGTAGTAAGAATAAAGGATCCAACAAAAAATGGACAAAAAACATGTACAAGCATTTCCCCAAAAGCAGCTATACAGGAGCACCGAGTCACTAGAGAAATGCAAATCACAGCCCCGGTGTGCTGCAACAGGCCCCTGTGTGGGTGTCAGTCAAGCGAAAAGCTTCACAATATTATCTGCAAGGACACATAGCAGCTGAAGCTCTGATGTTGCCAGTTAGAGGCGCAAAACGGATGCAACCACTTTAGAAAACACCTTGACTATGTTTTACAGAAGCAGATCTCCAGTTATCATTTGACCCACAAACTCACTCCCACACGTTTACCTCAGCAAACAGAACTATACATTCCCAGAAAGAAAGGAAAAGAAAAAGAAAAGCCTAGGCCACATTTTATACTAACAGATTTGTGGTCAAAACCTGAAATCCTCCAGACTTTCATCAAATGGAAGATAAATTCATTGTGGCATATCCTCTAGGGAAATACCGAAACACAAACACTTCTAAGAATAAGTATAGATTCCATTGTAGGTGAATCTCAAACACCCAATGCTGAATTAAAAACTCTAGAACCAAACAAATATCTTTATGATTCCATTTAAGTGGCATTCTAAAATCAAAACAATGGGGATGGAAACGGGTCTGCATCCTACTGGTCTGTAGCCACCTACAAACAGGGACAGAGGGGACACCGAGGGCAGTGCAAGTATTCTGTATGTTTATATAAATCTGTGCCCGTCACCCTGGTCACGTGACTAACCTAAACTATTACCATAAAACATGTTTTAAGGTGAAGAACTAAAATAGAATTAAAACCCAACTTGCATGTGGAAATTCATGAGTGGTTTTAAACTCAACAAGAAAAGTCACTCTGATTATTTTTATAGAGTGCTTCCCCACCTGTTCATTGTGGCCCCTTTAGGGGTTGAACTACCCTTTCATGGGGGTCTCATATCAGATAGCCTGTATACCAGATACTTACATTATGATTCCTAACAGTAACAAAATCACAGTTATGAAATATTAACAAAAATAATTTTACAGTTGTTGTTACCACAACATAAGGAAATGTATTAAAGATTATAGCATTAGGAAGGTTGAGAACCTCTGGCCTGATAGAAAGTCAAGATCTGAGCTGGGATTCTATTTCCCACTGCAAAGGGATAGGTATAAAGATATATAAGCTTATCAAAGTCTACACTCCAGAAAGGTAAATTTTGCTATTGCACATTAAAATCCAATGAGTCTCACTTTAGCTAGAAAAATGAATGCATATATTAGATACAGTTTTGCTGTCTGGACATGGTGGTACATATCTGTTACCCTATCACTTGGTAGACTGAGGCAGAAGGATTGCTTTGAGTTTGAAGTCAGCCTGGGCTACATAGTGAGTCCCGGTTAAGTGGAGCTACAGAGTGAGATGTCTCAAAATACCAACGAGAAAAACAAATGGAAGAAGGAGAAACTGTTTTTATATGTGATGTTCCAAATGGCGTTGTATTACATAACAGAACTTCCTTCAGATTGGCAAAAATTACATCACACATTTCAGTCTCATAAAAATGCAGTCTTGGCTAACATTCTGAAGCGTATTCTTTTATAGATATCAAACCCGCTTACATAACCCTCTTTATATGGGTGTAGAGGTAGACGCATGGCTGTTTAATTATAAGCGCTGGACTGATTGAATCAATAAATGCATGGCTGAATTAATCAACAATAAGTAAATTAATGAACTGAGATGAGCACTCTGCAGTCTTGTCTCCACGGTATGTGCTAGAGATGTCTGCTTCCCTGATTAACTCCATATGAGATCTATGTTTAAACAGATAAATGACTGCAATATGAAAAACTATATTTGTCTTAAAAGCATACAGCTATATTTGAGTGGACTTTAAAAAGATATTCATATGTGACCTAAATCCCCAAATGTGGGACTGGGATGCTCTATTGGTTGAGTTTTCATAACATGGTCCCCAGCACCCCACAACACTGGCTTTTGGCGAAGGCCCGAGATCCCATTGTCACACTAATTCCTCAAGGTTTCTTTATGCAAACCCCAATGCAGGGATATTTGATGTATCACTGAGGATGTGGCGTTCCTGAAAGGATTCCCATGGAGTGATGCATTGTTGGAGGAGGGGCTGCTTAGCCCCTAAATAATGACACAGAAACTGTATTATTTAAATCACTGCTTGGCCCATTAGCTCTAGCTTCTTAATGGCTAACTCTTACATCTTAGTTTAACGCTGCATAATCTCCATTAATCTGTGTATCGCCACATGCAGTGACTTACTGGCAAAGTTTCGGCCTGTCTGACTCTGGCAGCAGCTCCATGGCATCTCTCTAACTCCTCCTCCCTCCTCCCATGCTATAGACCAAGCCAGCTCTTTATTCATTAACTGATCAAAGCAACACATAGACAGGAGGACCGTCCACACCAATGCATGCCTTTGGTACAGTCCTCTCTTTCATGGAGAGAGTCTGTCATTGTGCTATATTCACCTGGGGCTGAGGAGGTTCAGACAACTCTTGGAGAGCACAGTTCTATTTAGAGTGGGATCAGAATTCAAGCTCAAGGAACCTGGCTTCTTGAATGCAAAACTTTACATCAAGTTTCTTATAGTCCATAGAAGATGTTATGGAGTGAACATGTGGGCAAGAGGAGCACAGCACCTTAGGTGTGTTTCTCTGGTGTCAGTCTGCTCAACTGAAGGTAGTTCTCTCTCTGGCATGGTTATAGCATTAAGGAGCAACAGTCGTCTGACTTTCCAGAACTTCAAAAGAATGAAAAAAAGAATCAAAGTTTCTCTATAGCTTCCACAAATTCTTCACCTTTGTAAGACAATGTCTTTCTCCAACAGGACCAGTATGACCGGAGCAAGGAAGATCACTTTCTGCTGCCACTTCAGGAGCTCAGGACCCCTCTGCCACCTGCCCTGTAAGTCCCAAACAACCCCTCCTTTGGACTGATTCTCAGCCTTTCCTTCATTAAGGAGTCTCATTGTGAGATCTGCTTTCAAATTTTTTAAGATCTGTTTTATAGGTCCATGGGTGTCTATATGTCTGTGTGAGTATATGTGCACATGTGTTGGGGATTATGCATGCCTGTGTAAGTACACAGGCCAGGTAAACAAGTTGGATCCCTCAGAGCTGGAGTTACGGGTATTTGCTGGATTTTGGGGCTTGTTACTTGTGCTCTAGGATCTGAACTCTGGTCCTTAAGATTATGCGGCAAATGTTCCTAACCACTAGTTGTCCAGCCTGAGGTCTGCCTTTGTCATATCTGCCTGTCTCTGGGACATAATCTCAGTGTGATTCTGCACACATTCATCAACCCCCCCAAACTTTCCCTTCAGCCAAGCAGACTAATATCCGCTTGCCCCCCATCTTCCTAAAATCCTGCAGATGGCAGCTTCTCTCCACCCATGACGCCAGTCCTCCTCAGCTAACATCCAATGGTATTTTTCAAGTCCAGGCTCCTTGACTTTTTAAGAAAAAGCCCTCATTCAGCCCCATGGCTCCCTCTACCAGACTGGAGACATTTCTGGTACTTGTCTTAAAGTGCACGTCTCCTTCCCTGCAGATTAGGGAAGCATGCACTTTAAGACACCTGCCATCCATTAATTCAATAAGGCAATTTAGGTAAACAAAGCAAAGGTTCCTCCCTTTTTTTCCAAAGTCAGTGGCAAAACTTTGAAAGCAGTGACGATTGTTTGTTCTTACCAGTTTGTTCTTACCACATGCACCCTCGGCTAGTTGAGCTTGTTTAAATTTCCTGTGCTTAGTTTGGGAGTACTTATTGTTGTGGTGGTGGTACTGCTGCTGCTGCTGCTGCTGCTGCTGCTTTATTCTTTTCTTCCAAAGTCTTACTCTGTAGCCCCGGCTGGTCTGCAACTTGCAACAATCCTCCTGCCTCAGCCTCCCAAGTACCAGAATTACAGTTGGGAACTATAAGGCCTGACTCTGGCACAGACATCTAGCGGCCTGCTGAGCAGTCTAGTCCTTTGACTCTTGACACTTGGATTCTAGTTTCTGTGACTCTGCTCTACTCCCCAGTTGCCCCACCCATGGCCACTAATGGCTTGGCCGTGTTATTTCAGCCAACCTTTCCCAGCATCAAGAGGTGACTATGTGTCTCCCAGTCTCCACTCCCCATCTGTGACTAACAACAATCCGTCTGCTTTCTAAAGCAACCATCTTTTATTATGGCCAGCCCAGCTGTCTTCTCCCTGACCCACACAATTTTTCTTAGTTCTGGTATGCATCTTTTCTTTTCTAACTCTTATCATAGACAGAAATAAATTCCAGGCTTGGTCAATGGTGATATCTCCAAAAATAATGACTGGTTCACCAGTGGTGTCTAAATCAAGCCAATCAGAATCCATCCCTGAAGTCACTGGCAGGTCTGTAAGAAACCTTCCTCTTTAGGATTAATGAGCTGTAAGGACAACAAGCCATAGACATCTCAATGAGGAGAGGACAGTGGCAGATAAAGTTTAAAAAAAAAAGAAGAGACAAAGTATGTCACTGTAGAGTGCTAGTTAATGCATATGTAAGGCAGGCCCGCTGTGTCACAAAAGCCAGAATTTGGAATCTTAGATGAATTGTATGGTGTATTGCAGTCACTTGTGAGTAAGAATCAATATGTGTGTGTGTGTATGTGTGTGTGTGTGTTTAATATCAGTGCACACATGATTTGCTCTTTGGCTGCAAGGCTGCACTCAAGAGTCAGAGGTAAAGATGAGCTAAGCAACATGAAGCAGCATAGTTTGCTCAAAGGCTGCCCTGGGGTGAGGTGTGCTTGCTTGAGTCTGGTGGTGAGATGCGCATGCTTAAGCTTAGTAAGAAGCAGAACAGGCTAAGAAACAGTGGAGCATAGAGGAATCCATCCTGGCCAAGTCAGAAGGCTTACCAAACCTGAGACATTGACAAAATTGTCAGTGTTTTATTGATATAAAAATACTTTATCATTGTTATCTTATCTGGTCAAGTTTATTTTTGAAATATTTTCCAATTAATTACCCAAGCTTATTCATCTTGAGATTCTAACTGATAACGACGTCCCCTTCCTAATAGCATGGACTCTATATGCCGCCATGTTGAACTGCTCAGCGTTCTTTTCAATGCCCTCACAGCCCTCACTGTGCTTTGAATGAAGTTTGTACCTCAAAGGTTCATGTTTTTAAGCCTGGCCTTGAGAGTGGAACTGTTAAGAAACAGGGCCCATCAGGGAGATTTTAGGCCATGGGATGTGTGCCTTCAGAAGGGATTACGGACCTCCAAACTGTTGGGTTTCCTGCGTATTGACCCGATTGCCCCTTTTCACAAACACCTACCATCCACCCTTAGACACTGACCTAAAGACAGCACCGTGCCTGTGAGCCTCCAGGACTGTGAGTTAAACAAACCTCTTTTCTTTATAAAGATACTGCCTTAGACATCTTATTATAGCAACAGAAAACACATCGGTGCAGAGCCTAGCACAGCCTTTGGCACTAAGTGGTTCGAAAACAATATAGGAATGCAAATGTCAGGTTCCTGACAGCTTGATTAAACATCTGTTTACAGTAGAGGAATGTCATCACTAGCAAATGAACGCGTGTTCTCCTGTTATTGTCAAGTGAGAAAACCTGATGGAATATTTCTCTTCTGTGGAAATAGTCCAAGCATGCAAAAGAAATGTAGATTAAACTGTGTTTGGCTGGCAGTTCTGAGCTGAAACTACTTCTCCTATTTCAACCTCTACATTTTTAACTGAAATTTGGGGATTAATGTCATCAAATCGCTTGTCTTGTTGGGAGGGCAAAATATTTGGAAAGATGATGAAAATAGAAGTAAAAGACACAGCTCTAAAGTGGAACATGAACTAAAATAACCCTGCAACGGGCAAGACATGGGAAATTGCTTTATAAGGGGACAATGACAGGTCAACGCTCTTAAAGTATGGGAATGTGGGGCTCAAGACTTACAAAGCTGCGTTAGGGAGAGCTCAGGGCTGCCATGATTCATGCTTGGGATGAAGCCTGTGAGGTGTGGCACTCTCCATGGGAGAGGGACCAAGAACCAGGACAAGTAAGCCAGCAGCAACAACTTCACAAATCTGATTACTTTGTAAACATAGGATATCCCCACAATGACTGAGCTGTTAGCAAAGGAACATACATGGGCAAGTATGTGATATCTAAATGCTAATGTTAATATGAAGGTCCTGGTTGTTATAGGGCCTGAAGTTATAAAATCTAGGGATTGCTTTGTGAGTCGCAGCCTGATATAAGAGGAACACTGGGTTTGACCACAGTCTGGATTACATAGTGAGGCACTGACTCAAGGAACCCAAACCAAAGCGAAAGACTGCATTGTGAATACAAAGCCTGATACATAGCTCTTGGTGGGAAAACAGACCCATATTTTGGTTCAAACTTAACAAAAGCCACTCAGGGCGGAGCACAGCATTTAATGCCCTGGCATACCTATACACTGGCTCTATGATTTTGTTTGTTTCTGCTTTTAAGAGGGCCTTGGGCTAGCACGAATGGTCCTTGAACTTGTGACAGTTCTGCCTCAGCCTCCTGGATGCTGCAATTACAGGCAGGAACCACCACACCTGATTTAAGTTTCCTCTAGTTTCTTCTTCTCCTCCTCCTCTTCCTTCTTCTCCTTCCTCCTCCTCCTCCTTCTTTTCCTCCTCCTTTTTTTCCTCTTTCTCCTCTCCTTGTTCTTTATCTTCTCATCCTTCTTCTGTTTGTCGGGGGGGGGGGGTTGTTGGCATAATTTTGGCCATATAAATTTTGGTTGGCTTTGCATATGACAGATTTTTAACTTTATTGTGAAACAGTTTCCCCTGGGAACGAAGCATTCCATCCTGCGGGGAAACTCTTTAAGGGGGAGGGTAAACAACTCAGAATAGCTTCAGGAAGTCCATGAAACCAACCAGATTCATCAGGTCCCTCTCTTCCAGAGTAAACATTAAAAACTGAGGAGAGTTACTCTCAGATGAGCCAAACTGCATCTCAGACTCAGAGACCAGTCCAGCTTCCTCAAAGAAGCTGAAGCCTGCTGAGGTGCCTGGAAAGGGTTTAGACCAACGGAGGCACCTGGAAAGAACACTCTCCAGCCTGCTGAGCCGTCTGCAGGCTGTGCAGTGTGCTCCAGGTTCCCATCTGTATTTGATCATTTCTACTCGGCCATATTCCTGTAAATAATTCCAATAAAACTCATTGGCTCAGCAAGTTGACTGAGACACTGGGCAGTATTCTGAGCATAGGAAACCTCAGAACCCACCTCCACAGTGACACCCTTCCTCCAAAAAGGCCATACCCACTCCAGCTAAGCTAAACCTCCCAATAGTGCCACTCCCTATGAGCTTATCGGGGCCAATTCCATTCAAATCATCACACACAGACACACTAAAAAGAAAGTCTCCTTTTCCTTGTTGTTCTGTGCTTTTACCAAACTGTCTTTAGATACGGAATTTAAAATATAAATACCAGCTACTCATTTTTTTCCTTTTTCCTTTCTTCCTCTTTTTCTTTCTTTCCTCTTTTGAAAGGGTCTCAGTGATTCACCCATGCTGGCCTCACACTTGTGACCCTCCCCCTGCTGGGTAAGCTCTCTGGAATGTTTGACCAGCTTTTATTGTGTATAGGGAATTCTCTTTCATCATCTGCACACACTTGCTCTGTGCCTTCAGAAATGCAGTTACATGTCTGCGATGCACACTGATGCACACACACACACTCACTCACATGCACACACACGCCCATATACTCACATGCACATGCACACATACTCATTGTGCACACACTCACTGATGCGCACACTCACATGCACGCACACACCCTTACACTCACGTGCACATACACTCATACACTCGTGTGTGCACATACATGCACACAACATGCACACACACTCAACACACACTCACACACACTCGTGTGT